TCATAAACTCCGTCCTCTCCATGTTGTTGTTGTTACATGCGCCAACTAAAAATATCAAATTACACTTCAAATGCATTTTCCCCAAAGATTGTTCTTCCATTATTTCAGGTAGTTCTTATGATGCTGATGTATTTTCAAGTGTTCATGTTTCTAATAAGTTTGCTTTTAGTTTGTTTTTTTACACTATGAAGATGCGGTGTGGTGCAATGATTGTGTGCTTGTCATTGGGTCTGTGTGAGTTTGGGCAGGACTTTGATACCGTGTCTCCAGCTCATGATCACTATTGCGCAGAGTCTAAATGACGTCATTGGTGCAAGATGACAGCAGCCATACCTGGGAAATTTTGGCTTTGTTTTTCTACAATGAAAGGAAAAAGAGACACGTCGTCCATCTTTTTTTTTTTTTTTACAATCTATTGTCTAAATCTACTGGGCTGGATGGTATTGCAGCTAGATTTTTAAGAGATGCTGCAGATATTATAGTTCCAACTGTCACATTTACACGAAGATAGATTTTATAAGGAAGCAGATTAATAACGGCAGAATGTGTGGTAGGGTACTCTTGGATCTCCAAGTGATTCATTCAATACTGTTAGATAAATTAAGTGTCATGGGTTAATTGAGTATGGTGATAGCCTGGTCGAACTCTTATTTAAATTGGATAGTTCAAATTAGGGTAAAAATTGATGATATTCTTTCTGAGGAAACAATTATTAATAATGGAGTTCCTCAGGGAAATGTCTTAGGCCCCCTTTTGTTCTTATCATACATAAATGACATGCAAGCTGTTTGTGATTATAACTTAAATAATAACAATTTTATTATTATTTAATAACAATTTTAATAACTTAAAATTATAAACTTGTTTTTATATGCTGGTAATTCTGCTTTACAGGTTTCAGACAAGGATGTTGATAGAACACACGTGATATTAGGTGAGGTGCTCCGTAAGAGACTGGCTCTCTGAAAATAAACTCTTATTGCATTTAGGTAAAACAGAATCTATATTATTTAGATCTAAAAGTCACATGTTTTTGTATTCCATTTTAGACATCTTGGCTGGTAACCTGAAAACAGAGTAGCACACTAAAATGTTATGCAAGATAACTGATGTTTATTACCTGAATACCTTTGACTGTAGTTTAACTGCTTTAAATTTTGAGTAGCATATAGCTTGGCATGTCAGCTTTTTTTTTTTGCATTTGTACATCAATGTCTATCTAACCACACTGGAATGGTCACTGCCATGCCTTCTGCTTTTATATGGTTTTTGAGTAATGGCATGTTTTATGCAGAGCTCTATTGGCCACCTTCACTGTCAGCTGCTAAACTCTGTATTCACTCTATAGTGATCGTTGGCTTCTCTGTGGCTTTTCTCTCAAGTCTTATTGCAGAGAATTCTGGGTGAATGTGATTTCTAAGCAGTGTAGGTGGTTTTATTTCCACTTCCTGGTAATTAAACCAAATGAGACATCCAAACATCTGGATATTGTTTTGTATTCTTTTTCCATTTCAGCTTTTGTTTAACTTGGGGATTTTATTTTCACCATTTGTTCCTTTAATTGTGGGAATTTAATCCAGGAAATGTTTTAATGATTCACAGGCAAATACTTCTGTAAACAGCATTTTTTAAACATATATTATTTTATTTACTGGCAATTTTAAAATAATTATTTTGATTTGCAATGCCTCATGCAGACACGCACATCACATATAGATTAACTGGAGTTTTCAATGAACAGTGTGATTTTCTGTAAAATGTGCGCATAAAACGGTATAAAGTAATTGCGTGTATGTGTTTGCACATGTGTTTTTGTGGAAGGTTTTAGTATGATTAGTCACATTTCAAAATAGTACTGAGGTCAGGTGAACATCTGCACAGACTGGAACATCACACACACACACACACACACACACACAGTTTCCTACAATGAATCACATGCACAATCATTAGACTGCTGGAACCTGAAAAATAAAATGCACATGTGTGTGCAAGGCTAGAAAACGTGAAAAACTTGCACATGCACAGTCATGCAGACTCTGCTTCTAATGAAATGCATGTGCACTGTGTGCAAAACATAGCAGCAAATGGACAACTGAAGTATTTGATCGTCTTAACACCAACGAACACCTAATTTCAAGCATCTGTATCTTAACTCAAAAGAATAATTCACCCAAAAATGACAATTTGCTGAAAACTTACTGACCCTCATGTTATCCAAGGTAGATGAGTTTGTTTCTTCATCAGATTTGGAGATATGTAGTATTGCATCACTTGCTCAGCAATGGATGCTCTGCAGTGAACAGCTGATAAAACATCACAATAGTCCACAAGTAATTTACTCCAGTCCATCA